CCTGCGGCCCCGGCGCAGCCCTGACCCACGGACCCTGCAGATCCAGCCTCGAGGAGGTGGCATTGCATCGTTCAGGGCCCCTTCAAGCTGGATATCGTGGCCAGCAGAGGCAGAAATTATCTGTAGGTCAAGTCCTTGGCGTGCAGAAGCGCAGGGCTGTGACACCCAGCTCCCGCATGCTCCTCTGTGGTGCTCCTGTGTGCTGGGCCGGGACCCGAGTATCGTGCCAGGCTCCTAATGAGCTCCTCATAATGCTGACTTGTTCTGTACTAATTACTTTGGCATCTTTCTTGAATCTTCTTCCTTCTCCCAGGAATCTTTCTTTTGGCTTGACCTCCCTCCTCTTTGTCCCCAACCCCCCTGTTCTCCACCCTGGCTGTTTCTCTTGTCTCTCCTCCTGCTTGGGACCCCTGAGACTGTTGCTGCTCCGGCTGCTTCTGCTCACCAGGCAGTGGGTGGTTACTGTCCCCAAGCTGTGACTGTGGAACAGAGACCCTGAGGTGGCCTCAGCTGCCTCCATGCAGTCAAAACAGTTGATTCTTGAGGGGTGAATTAGTCTGATTGATTTGATTTTTCTCCCAGGCATTTCAACTCCATGTTGGGATCCCGGCCTCGGAGAGAAGGAGCTGGGGGTAGAGCAGCCTGCAGGGAGCAGCAGGCAGAGCGCAGAGATGTGTTCCCTGGCTGCCCATTCCCATTCCAGCTTCCACTGCCAAGGAGGAGTCTGGGGAGCACGAGAAGCAGGATCGGCCCTCCCAGCGCCTCACATCTGGCAGAAACAGGGAGCAAAGATCATCACCCAGGCTCTTTCCTTGTCCTGTCTCCACTTCTTACCCTTCCTTGGTTGGAGCTCATGCTCTGCTGTTATGGTGGAGGAGCAGCTAACAGGGAATGGGGAAAAGTGGGAGTTTTGTACTCAGAAAGGAGGGAGTCCAGCCAGCCAGCCCTGTGTGTAATCCCCCCATCCCGCTGCACCTCTTTCCTACTCCGTGCTCCTTGCTGCTGCAAGTGGGATTTGCCTGCACTGGTGGGACATCTCAATGGATCCTGGTGAGGAAGCCACGTGCGGAGGCAGAGCTTGGAGCAGTGTCCCTCAAGGATTCATTTGTCCTGTGTTAGGAGCACAGAGGCCAGCACGTGTTGAGGCTGCAGCACCTCTCCCAGCCTCCCTGCTTGCTTCGTGTCCTGGGGCTCTCAGTGTAGCGTGAGCGCAGGCGAGTTATAAGAAAGCAGCCGAAGGCCCCCATGGAGTTGGACCCACGTGATGGGAGAAGGACGCATTGCACAGAGTGCTGACCTGGGGCTTTCTTAATCACCACGTGAATTCCTCATCCTCTCTGTCCTTCCCGCCAGCTCCATTCTGGGGCCAGTTTTCTCTTTTCTGCTAGTTTCTTGCTGCAGGTTAAGGGCCGGCTTTCCCTCTGTGGGCTGGTTTGGGGGAGACGTTTCTCACAGCCATTTCCAGCCACCCTCATGCGAGGAGCCCTGCAGCACCACGGATATTTCCTCAGCTCTTTGGGTGGTGGTTTGTATTTCAGAGCAATGTTGAAGCAGGATGCTCTGTTTGAACACATAAAAGGCTTTTGAAGATACAGCTCCATCAAAAAAATGTTTTCCATATGTTTAAAATGAATGAAAATAGTTTGGGTCTCTGGCAAAATGAAAAAGAAATGTTTTTTTTTCCCTTAACTCCTCCAGTTTCTCTCAGATTACGTGTAACTGCCGAGTAGCTAGTAACACCTAAGCCCTCTCTTCGGGTTTGTCCGATCATCAGGGTGTTTTCTTGAGCTGCCGTTGCATGAGATGGTGGTCGATAGTGACTGCGTTACTGCCTCACAGGGAAACGTCTGCCTTCATGCGGGAAACGGTGACATCGTCTTAACTGTTGCTAGCATGAGGATAGATTAAAATATGCCTTTAGACAGATGGAAGCCACTCATTCTTCGTCTGCCCTTTTTTCAGTACCTGGAAGCAGTTCTGACCCCAGTAAGTTGTGACCCATGGCTACAGTGCTAATCCACCGGAGATTCCCAGGACTCGGCAGGGTGGTGGCGGTTGCCACTGCCGCCCGGCGCACGGGCACAAGCGGGAGTAGCCAGCGGAGGCAGAAGAAAGAAGAGACCCCAGAAGCGGCCAGCGCTGAAGCTGAGCGAGCGGCTGTGATCCAACTGCCTTTGGGCTGCAGCGTCTTGTACGATTCCTGTGCTGGGAGCAGAGCTGCCTCCCGGCAGGTGGAGGCTGGAAACCGTGGTCGGGCTCTGGGCAGCAGCGTCTCCAGCACTGGCGCTGTGTGGATTCAGAGGACGGTGAGCACCTCCTCCTCTCAGGCTTTGCCAACTCCCCAAAATGACCCAAAGTTCAAAGCGCTCCTTGAGCAGGATATCGTGGCACAAGCCAAGGAAGAGGCAGAGAAGGAGAGGGCAGAGATGCACGACTCTAAGGAGGACCCTCGCGTGTTCCAGAAGGGCAGGCCTGAATACTGCACTCTCAGTTACAATAAGTTTGAGCTAACGGAAGCCCTCCCTGTAGAGGAAGGGGATGCGATTTTATGCAGGCTATCTGTGCACAAGGACCACGAGAGCCCAGAAACCATCGTGGGGTATTTTCGCCAGCTGAGCTGTTTGCCGGCGGAGCGGCACGCGGCGCTGCGGGGCGCACC